AATACTCACTGTTTAGTAGTGGCTAGCACTAACTGTGCTGTTTCTGATAGATTTACTTTGTTACCTAGGTAACAATACTCACTGTTTAGTGATGGCTAGCACTAACTGTGCTGTTTATGAAAGATTTACTTTGTTACCTAGGTAACAATACTCACTGTTTAGTAATGGCTAGCACTAACTGTGCTGTTTCTGATAGATTTACTTTGTTACCTAGGTAACAATACTCACTGTTTAGTGATGGCTAGCACTAACTGTGCTGTTTATGAAAGATTTACTTTGTTACCTAGGTAACAATACTCACTGTTTAGTGGTGGCTAAGCACTAATTGTGCTGTTTATGAAAGATTTACTTTGTTACCCAGGTAACAATACTCACTAGTTTAGTGGTGGCTAGCACTAACTGTGCTGTTTATGAAAGTTTACTTTGTTATCTAGGTAACAATACTCACTGTTTAGTGGTGGCTAGCACTAATTGTGCTGTTTATGAAAGATTTACTTTGTTACCTAGGTAACAATACTCACTGTTTAGTGGTGGCTAGCACTAACTGTGCTGTTTATGAAATATTTACTTTGTTACCTAGGTAATAATACTCACTGTTTAGTGGTGGCTAGCACTAACTGTGCTGTTTATGAAATACTTACTTTATTACCTGGGTAATAATACTTACTGTTTAGCTAATATCAAGTGGTTGCTTGCACCAAATCTGCTGTTTATGAAAGATTTACTTTGTTATCATGGTAACAAATACTCACTGTTTAGCTAGTATCCGAGTAGTGGCTAGCACCAACTCTGCTGTTTGATCGATGTGGGGTGGAAGAGGTTCCAGAGAATTGATGGTTGATGGTTGTCTGTATCCTGCGAGAAAGTAAGTAAATGTTTAAATACTTGTTTCTCACTCCATATACTACAAACTCGCATTTTAGTAGATAAACTGTTAACACTGATGAAGTAGCGTCGGTACGTCCACGTTTGTATAGTTTTAAACTTTAGAAAACATAAATTATGTATGTATGAGAACAGGAAACGATTTTTTTATCTATAATTATTTACTTTAAAACATCATAATTAGATTAATTGATAGCTTTCAAGCTTTAATTTTGTAAATTTATGACGTTCGATGAAAATCATCCTCATGTATATGTTTACACGCATTGGAGTCATCTATATTACGTGTAGGAGTTATCTATATCATGTATGGGAGTTATCTATATTACGTATGCGAGTTATCTATATTACATATGCGAGTTATCTATATCATGTGTGGGAGTTATCTATATCGCACGTAGAAATTATCTATATCATGTATAGGAGTTATCTATATCACGTATGGGAGTGATCTATATCACGTGTAGGAATTATCTATATCACGTATGCGAGTTATCTATATCATATATATGAGTTATCTATATCACGTAAAAGAGTTATCTGTATCACGTATAGCAGTTATCTATATCATGTGTAGGAGTTATCTATATCACGTATGCGAGCTATATGTATCATGTATAGGACTTATCTATATCACGTATAGCAGTTATCTATATCACGTATGCGAGCTATATGTATCATGTATAGGACTTATCTATATCACGTATAGCAGTTATCTATATCATGTGTAGGAGTTATCTATATCACGTATGCGAGCTATATGTATCGTGTATAGGACTTATCTATATCACGTACGGGAGTTATGACGTATGTGGGAGTTATTTATAATAAGGCCCAGCCCCGAGAGCGTACTTTCACAAACTGTAAAACAAAACCATGTTTTTGTATACGATAATTTAACTTCTCTTACCTCTTTGACGCTTAGCTTCGGCCAGAGCTCGGTTAACATCGGAGTACCGAATACAGATTTCTTCCACAGGGCCAGAAGGATGAAAAGATCTGAAATCAAAGTATTAGCATATGAAAAATAACAGCGACACATAATGAGTTGTTTGATAATTTTTTATCTACGACATTAAACAACGGTTCCCAGACTAGTGTTGTAAGAGAATATCACATCATTAGTAATTCTCAATTTAAAAAAAATGTTAGTATTTCAAGAATTTCTTACCGAGGTTTTACAAATTCTAAGAATCCACCATAATGGGTCGCCGGTGTCCTACCGCCAGGCTTTATGTAAGATCGCTGGAGGATGAGAGCGCACCCTGATGACTTTCCAGTGTAATCTCGATCAAAAGTTGAAGAGCCAATAGAAATACTGTTTAGCTGTGCCAGCGCTGGACTCCAGGAAAATACCAGCAGTAACGTTAAACACAGTTCGTATCTGTTAGACAGGAAAATACCAATAGTAACATTAACACCGCTGGCGTTTGTTAGACATGGTTCTTGAAGTTTGGGAAGGGGGAAGGAAACACACTGTTTTGTCAGGCGTAATACAATAACTCTGACTTCCTTATTTATCGTGTACTTCAAACTATAGTTAATACAATAAGATCACAATATTTTATTGTATATTGGCTTAATAGATAGAAGTGTTTAATAGTGTTTTCCTTATCACTAAGTACGGTAGTCCTTAGTACGTAAGGATGGGCCGACACAAAATGGCTGCCGCATTCAAGTTATTACTCTATGATGTTTACAAATAACAGTTAAAGTTGAGTTATAGCCTTATTTGAGCACCCAATTGCCATTATCGAGTGTTTCACAGCTTGTGAGACTTCCACTGTCATTGAAAACTGTTGCTAAAGTAGAGAACTAGGAACTAGTTAAAGAGCCAAAGTGTTCATCTTTCTTTCTTCTTTTCCCACACAAGCTAAAAAATGTGTGAAGTTTTCGTAACGGCTTTAGTACGATAGAAAACATTTAAGAGCACTTGGAAACAGGCTATCACTAAGCTAAAACATTATAATTCTAGTGTGAAAGATGTTATCATTACCCTTTGAAGTTAGCTTTCTTACAGAAATCTGGTGTTCTTTCAAAAAACTAAACTACAGGGTGAAACAGAAATTATCAGCCAATAATAGATGAACATTAGGTGACTATAATACGTAGAATACTCAATGCTTTGTACACTATACAATCGGTGTCTTCAGGGAGTCAACCCCTATATTATGTATGAAGTGAAGGAGTAAAAAAAAATAGTACACATAATATTAAATTTTAAAACACACATTCACAGAACACACTACTTTCAGTCAGGGAAAAAAACCCGTCACAAAACAAGTAATAAAAAAAAACGTAAATCTAAAATAATGTAAGAATGGCAGTGCCATAAAGAATGCAAGCATGAATATAGAGATGATACAGCTATACATTTTTCATATGTTCTTTCCTTACTGCAGGTTCCCCAAGAACTCAATATTATGACCAGTGATGATTAATAATCTATTGTGGCCAATTGTATGGTATAATATCAATATCTGAGGTCATTCTAACATAAAGTATGATGTATGGATGGCAATGCCAAAATGTATAGAAACAAGTTAGAGATTAATACACCAGACAAAAATAAATAAATATGCTGCTAAATATTTCCAATGATAACTTTTATCTACAAATAAATGTTGAATTCCTGTCAGCTGCATAAATTCAGGTTTTGATTAAAAGCTTTTAAACTGAATAGTGCTATACAGTCCTACAATGACTAATAACCATGAGCTTGTAAGATTGACTCAGTATTTACTAGCCATTTATATAGTGATTTTTGTATGGTTTTGTGTATTCATCCCTACCTTGTCTCTGTTTGACAAAACTATCCCTACATCATACTTAATTTTTTGCAGAAATGTTTTTAGTACTTATTATTTTAATTATATGACAAAACAATGGAAACCATAAATCGCTTGATTCTCAATTTGATAGTCGAAGGACAACTCTTAAACTTTGATAATACTTGATATTCTGGCTATGGGAAGTTTGATGGCCAAGGACAACTCTTAAACTTTGATGATACTTGATATTCTGGCTATGGGAAGTTTGATGGCCAAGGACAACTCTTAAACTTTGATGATACTTGATATTCTGGCTATG